ATATAGGTGATTAATTGCTTTATAATGATAAAAGACAGAGACCAGAATTTCATAAATTGTCTACCGGAAGAATATGCAGGATCATCTGTTTGATGAGCAGTGAGAAACCGCTATATTTGTGTAAGAGCTAGAGAATTGTCTCATACTGAATAGGTTGTGTTTCATTGTTGTTGCTCTTAAGATTTAGGCCTGGTTGCGTTTTAAAAAAAATCCAAATATAACATTCTCCCTGCTAACATTTCTTGTAGTCCCTTTCGTGTGAATTATCCCGCTGGTTTTCCAAATAGATCTTTCCAGACAGTTTTAATTATTTTGTTTTCTGGATGTTACAATCCCTTCGTATTCTGGAAGGTAGTAACTTCGCTTTACATGTATACGCAAGTTAGAAGCTTTAAGACGAAACGCAGACTCCTTTATTTTCATTTATGTAAGTGACGCTTAATATCAAATAACGGGATAAGTGATAGACTGACCTCCAATTAATATGTCATCATTTTGCCAAATAGGTCGTGGTAATATGTCTGTTTCTGCTTTTACCGAGTTACCTTTCATGTAATACATTTCCCCCCAAGCGTCAAGAAAGCGTTATTTGTTTTTTTCGTTATCAGTTTTTCGTTTACATATCATAAAATTATTTGTTTAGAGACGTTATTAAAGAAAATGGATTATAGTTTGATTCATTATGAAGTAACTCTTAATCCAAGCACCCTTCTGAATCTGCATTGTGTGTTTCATGGCCGACCTTGTTATTCCACCCTCCTCATAGTCTACGTTGATCAAATCTCTTATGATTTAGTCCGCTTTATTTTTCCATATGAAAGTAAATTATTGCATTTCTAAATATCTAATGATATTTTCACTCGAGTTACGCAGTGCTGAAAAAAGAGGATTTGATTTTTGAAGGATTAGACTTTACAAGACGTATTTCTCCTCAGTGGGGAGAGGTTTCTTGCCAACAATAACTTCCTTAAAATCCTTAAACTTTTTAGCATGTCTTTATAGCTTCTTTCCATATTTGTTTACAAGTTTTTTGAAAATGTGATACCTAGCAATGGGAAATCAGGGAAGTTGGCATTTATGACACAGTTTGTTTGGAATGTTTAAATGACTCTATCCAGATCACCTGGATAACCTGTATAGTTGGAGAAAAGTGTGAAGTCGTTTAGTACTTGAAGTACGTGGTCATCTGTTCCATCGAAGATTAAAGACGAAGAAACTCTAAATCGACTGAGTCAAATGTTTTCTCGAAGCCTTTCAAAAGTAACATACGTGGTAGTTCCATAGTTTCTGTATAATCTATTACAACTAAGTCTTGTACATTCTCCCATACATCTGTTTGCCATAATTCCTTGTTGATCGTCATTGAATATCGAAGAGGGTAGACGAGGATTTTTGCTATTTGCGATTGTAGCAGAGCCGATCTTGTATGATACATTTAATACAGTAATCCGTTTCAGTAATATATGTTGTTTTGGCTTATCTTTTTTCACAAACATGCAATTAGTCCTTGTTCTTGGCTTAGTGACAGTGCCGTATTTCTATTAGAAAGATTTAAGAACCGGAGAAGGTATTGCTGATTATCACGCTGTAACATTTTTCAGTGTATTTAATAATTCCTCGCATCCAAGTCACCCGTGAAGATCCGGGTTAGAACAGGTCTTCAGCAACCCATGCGTGCATTAAAAGGCGTCTATCCTTGTCGTGAGAGGCGACTAACGGGATCGGGTGGTCAGACTCGTTGACTAGGTTAATGCATGTCATCGTATCCCAATTGCGTAGATCGATGTTCATGATATCAATCACTGTATTGTCTGGTCGAGACTCGATTATTTACGGGCCGCCGTCATATAGCTGGAATATTGCTGAATGCGGCGTTAAATAACCAAAACACAAACAAATCCTATTAAAGTTCACCTTCCATCCTACTTTGCTGCTCTTGGGTTCATTTTGGTATGTTAAAGATCTTTAAACAAATTCCTTATATCAACCTCACTGTTCTTTAGTGGAGAGGTGCTTTTGTTTCATTTTTTAACTAAGCACTGCATGTTGGGAATTTTGTATCTTAAGAATGATATATCCAGAAAACGTTTTGTTCCAAGGTTTTAAGTGTACTTTGTTGGTTTCTGAACTATAACGCCTTCTGTTTTTATTTAAGTTATTTCTTGCAATCATTTTGAGAATATTTTGCATTTCGTTAATATGTTCTGTGGAATTCATACTATGTTCCATTGATTTCAATAAAACCGATAATGACTTTTTCATATTGCTCACTTGCTCTTTTATTTCCTAGAATACTATTTTACTGTTTGTCCCCTCATGTTCATAACGATGTCTGGTTGTCCATACTGATCTGTGTCCAGATTATCTTCACCACTAAAATCTCGTATCACAATTTCGATTTGGTCTACATACTTTTTATCTCGAAGACTAGAGTTCTTAATTTCCAGTAACCTATTCCTTTCTCACTATCTTTCAATTGTAGGGTTATCCAGTGCGTTGAATGATGATCTGGCCTGTAGCTACCTTCTCTCACAGATTTTCAATTGAGTTTTCGACATGAGGAAGAAATCTCATCATGCTTGTTTAAAAAGGCTAGGCGGTCTCCACGTCTACCCTCCACGTCTACCCGTTGACATAAGGATTCTGATCTCTTCATGGATCTCCCATACTAACCTCTTCAATATATTCCAATACCTTATCACGTCATTTAGTTACTCTTTTGTAGTTATATAGGTCTGATTTAAGATCCCGTCACCACATACACTCTCCACAAAAAGAAACGCACACGTAGATCTTTAGTAAACTTATTGTAAATAATGAAGTCGATATATTTAATTAAATATCATAGATACAAATATGAATTTTTGGAGCACGATAGTCACATACAAAGGCATTGAAAACTGTTCATTGTCATGTTACATAAGGACACAAGGTTGCGTTGAACTCGTGTGACCGCCCCGAGCAGCAATCACGGCTCTGCATCGCCTCGGCACTGACTGGAAAAGTGTACGAATTCTATCCTGCGGAATTCTGCTTGTAACGTGTTGGCAAGTTGTGGGAGTGTCTGCGGCGTGTTCTGACGTTGACTACACATCGATTGAGTTCATCCAAGAGGTGTTCGATTGGGTCGAGATAGGGAGATCTCGACGGCCAGGGCAAGACGTAGATGTTGGCATTATGAAGAGAGTCTACCGTGACACCCGTTTTTGTGCAGGTGAATCGATCAAAATCATGTGCACAGCACTATAGTGGCAAAAGTGGGTTTTTTTACGTGCAACTGGTCACGTGGCCATAATACCGCACGTGTTTTCAGCCATACTTGTTAGCAGTCATTAAAAAAACTAAAAAAACCACAAGAAAACAAAAGTCTTTACGGCCATTTGTCATGCGACGCCTTTCAAATGTGCAACGTGCCATCGGCATGTTGCAGACGGGAACGTCCGTAGCTGAAGTCGCAAGGACGATAGGTTGTAGTCGACGGACTGTTTATGATTTACAGACGCGTCTACAGCAAACGGGTACCACGTCACCGCTGATCGCCCTCGGCCAGGTCGACCACGAGTGACGTCACATGCAGAGGATCGTCAGATTGTCTTACGTCACCTCCCTAACCGATTTTTGACTGCTACATCAACCAGAAATGAACTGTTTAGGGGTAGACTGAGTGCGCAAACTGTTCGAAACCGTCTGAGAACTGCTCATCTTCAAGCACGACGGCCATACCGTGATTCAGTGATGAATCCCGATTTAATCTTCGATATGCTGATGGTAGGGCGAGGGTGTGGAGGCGCAGTCATGAACATTACGCCCAGTGTTGTGTACAGGAAGTTGACAGATTTCGAGGCGGGAGTGTCATAGTGTGGGGTGCTTTCTGTGGCAATGCACGTTCCAGGCTTCTTGTCATCCGTGGCAACCTCAACGCTGCTGCTTACCGCAACCAGGTACTGGCACCAGAACTTCTGCCTTTCATGGCAGCACATGGACCCGGTTTGATCTTCCAACACGAAAATGCGAGACCCCAAACTGCAATTTTGACAATGAATTTCCTTCAGAATGCGGGAGTCAACGTCATGGACTGGCCGTCAAGGTCTCCCGACCTTAATCCCATCGAACACGTCTAGGATGCTCCATATTGCAGCAACAATGGCGTCGTCTTCCCAATCATGTGTTCACAAGCATCACAAGGTCCATGCGGAGGCGTTGTGTGGCACATGGTGGCCATACACGCTACTGAACTTGTGTGCCATCAGACTCTCGTGCTTGGGATTTATGATTTAAACTGTTGATGTTATTACCGAATACCGTAGGTTCTTGGAACAAATTATGGTTACTACCGTTAATTAAAATCCTTCTTTGGACATAAATGATTAAAAATTACCTTCTCTGATACATTTGTCCGTTGTATATCATATATGGGATTTCTTTTAAACATGTGAAGTTTTTAATTTGACTCAGTATATGTGACAGTACTTGACTTTCAACAAAAGACCGGCATCACTTCCCAACAGCACCATAAACACCTCCCTGCTGACTAAGTCGTCGTGGGTCACAAGGCTAAAAATAAATGACATACGTAGAGAAAACCTGAGTTATTTCTCAGACAATACTACGAAGTCAAGCTTATACCTATGCAGGGGGTAGTTCCTGTGGATTAAACCATCCTGCAGCACACACGTCTCGTCACGTCTGCGTACCATCGATTCCCCGCCAATTTGAACATCTTTACTGAGAGCACTTCGCGATACACACACGATGATAGATCGATCAGGTCGAGTTAACGCAACCTCAGTTACCTCCCTTTATACTAAAGGTCGGTTATTTTGGTACCGCATCCATCGACGACATGAACGTCAGAGAGTATTTCCCATTTAACGTATTTGCATTTGATTACCGTAGAAAAGCGACATACGTAATTCGCAATAATTATTTCAAACTTATTTTACAGCACTGCGCTTACTTCCCTTATCAGTGCAACAATTGCTATATGACTATGACCTATTCGAGCCAGTGTTGAATGGGACAACAGGATCGATACGCTAAAGCTGCCATGCTGCGAGTCGCTAGTACTGCTCCTAATCTGGACGGTGATATCTATGCCGGAATTCTGTATTTATCAAAACGGAGGTGACCACGAATGTGTTTGTGGATATTCTACCCTTCTACTACGGAACCTCACGCCGCCCCAAGTCGTCGGGATGGACGTTTAAGGAGGCCTATATCACCGGTACAGTTCCCATTTTGCCTGTTAGCTCCCCTATTGAAATATTAATTATGATGGTCTCGCCTGAACCGTGTTGTGTTGCAGATGCGGGATGTCCGTGCAGGTTTCATGGCGACTGTGTCGTTTGCCGTTGTTGATGTATGGGCGAGCATTGATATAATTAATTCTAATAATGGGTTGCTGTTGACGTAACGAACGATTGCACTACAGCAAGGGTGTGTGTGAATGTATATTTATCGGTAGACATACACGTCCAGTACAACAACGCACTCGGTAGCCGGACCCCTACAAGTGTCATATCAAAGTTTAGTTGCAATATAGGGAAAACACTCAAAACAGAAAAAACAACAACCCATCATCATGTTTCCTATTAATCTTTCATAATTTTTATTCTTTACTAAATTAATTCTATTTAAAATCTGTCGATGAGAAAGTAAAATTGCGTTCAATATACATTACAAGGCACATACTGTCAGTGTTGTGTGATATGGGGATATACTGCTAGTGTTGTGTGATACAGGGATATACTGCTAGTGTTGTGTGATATGGGGATATACTGCCAGTGTTGTGTGATATGGGGATATACTGCTAGTGTTGTGTGATATGGGGATATACTGCTAGTATTGTGTGATATGGGGATATACTGCCAGTGTTGTGTGATATGGGGATATACTGCTAGTGTTGTGTGATATGGGGATATACTGCTAGTGTTGTGTGATATGGGGATATACTGCTAGTGTTGTGTGATACGGGGATATACTGCTAGTATTGTGTGATATGGGGATATACTGCCAGTGTTGTATGATATGGGGATATACTGCTAGTGTTGTGTGATATTGGGATATACTGCTAGCGTTGTGTGATATGGGGATATACTGTCAGTGTTGTGTGAGAGCTAAGTGCGTTGTGACATGTTGACGCAAGGCGGGGTTGGGACAGCACCTGTTACAAGATCAATTCTTTTTCCTGTCAGAATAAATATGTGTTTGCTTGATCGATTCACAGTTGGTTTATGCATGTGCTGGTACATAATGCGTGGGCACATTTGGGTATGGCTAACAGATGTATAAACGTATTGGATTACTGGTGAAGGTAAGAGTTATGTTTAGTTTGTATGTTTTGGCATAATGACATGTGACATACGGCGGCACTAAACATCGGTAATGTTAACCACAGCTTGAATGAGAATTGTTTCAAAGTATCAGCACAGATGCTATTTATTCCTTGTGCATAAATAATAATAATAATAATAATAATAATAATAATAATAATAATATGTCAGACAATAGATCCCACCACCCTCGCTCTTCCCCCAATCGCTTATATTTTCCAATTATAATGGGAGGGTGTGGTTTGATTAACGTGGAGGCTCTTCATGATAAAATTGTATTGTGCACTTTTTACACACGAGCTAAGGACGTGGGACATAATCTCAATGTCAGTGTTGATTTTGTTGATGGTTCTGTACTGCTGGACGGTACAGAAATGAGTGTCAACCAAGCGTAGTGCCATATCAAATCGCCCCAGACTCAGTTCTTTAAGGAGAGGCTATCTGAACGACCACCGCATCGCGATTATGTGCAGTGTGTTGATAAGATCAGCGACACTACAGAGTCCTCCATTGGATGAAGTCGGCTGGCCTGAAAAGTGAAACAGAAGGCTTTTTGTTTGCTGCTCAGGACCAGTCACTATCCTCTCGAAATCGTCAACGTGTGATTTTGCATCAAAATGTAAATATGAAATGTAGATTATGCAATAAATGTAATGAGGCTGTCCAACACATTGTCAGTGGATGCCCCGCTTTGGCACAAACACAGTATCTTAAGCGACATGATGATGTAGTTCGATCATTTATTACCGTCTTTGCAATACTTGTGGTTTTGACACAGAGGTCCATCCATAGTACGACCCGGAATATGTAGACGGCGTCATGGAAATGATAAATACAAAATTCTTTAGAGTAGGCCCGTTTTACAGACTGTCACGAAATGACGAAATGTCACGCTTGCATCCAAAGTACCAAGTTGTCCGACTCATTGTTCGCGGTGCCTTAGGTTTGGTACCTCCCAATCTGTTGACTGACATTGGAAGAGTACCCGGGTTTGCTACCAGGAATACAGCCCTTCTGACAATCTGGGTAATGCAGAAGGCTTCATTGTTGGGGAGTCTTCACATTCTCCGAAAGTTCTGGGTGGGTTTGACTAGGCAGCGCTTCCTGGGAGAAGTCCCATTCGCTGTCTGGGCTGCGTGTAAACGGGGGCCAGGGCCCTGAGCTGATGATGAACCTTACTAGCCTGACAAACCCTCTTTGCTTCATTTTTATTATTTTAATCTGTAAATAATAATAATAATAATAATAATAATAATTTCGCGTCAGTCCCCAAATTATTGTTTGTAATTGTTTATTTCATATTCTAGAATCTAAACACTCATTAAAATGGCGACATGTCTTTCCAACAGGTACCCAGTCTCAGATGAACGCGACGTCTAAAGGATACAATGCCTGGTGCAGGGGACATAACTCCGACAGACTCGATCACACAACAATCAGTAGTGATTTCTTCCTCCTCCTGGATAGACCGGTGTTGTGACTGTAACTTGTGGATTAAATACAGCCTGTTTGTTATCAACTTTCTAGTATGGGTAAGTAAGTTAAGACAGATAATTTGTGAATAAATCTAAACATAGAAATGAAAAACAAAAATGGTAATTTATTATAGGCGTAGGAGTGGGGTTGGAGTTGGGGTTGGGGTTGGGGTTGTAATTGGTCTTAGGATTGTATCATATTTTGCCCCCCCCCCCCCCAATTTTCTGTATTCTGTATGACCCCGTCGTTCTTATAATAAATGAGCAGTCCCGAAATCATGTTTAAATTATAACATTTTTATTTGACAAAAGTAGAACTCATTCTTATGCCAGTGTCATTTTTATGCCCCACCATACATTTGTAATAATTGTAATAACTATTGGTGCCCATACCCTTGCATACTGTGAAGATCGGCGATATATATATATATATATATATATATATATATATATATATATATATATATATATATATATACTCACACGCAAAAGAAACGCAAGTGGTTTTAAGCAAATAGGTAACAAACACGGAACCATAAATTGATACGAGCATGCAGTGAAGCCTGATGGTGTTATCAATATTTTTGGTTGCATTTTGGAAGCCCCGAGTAAAAACGCAACATAAAAAACGAATCGCTAAAACGCACCATTTCAATGAATATGTGGGTATCATGCACCGATTTCTCGCGAAATCGAAAATGTACGAACTGTCACTAACTGTAGTGGGTATAAAACTGTGGCCGATTCTTGGACCTACCACTCCTTGGTCAACAATGACACGCCTAACTCAAATTCAGAGAAACCAGGCTATCGGACGTTTTGAAGCTGGAGAGTCTGTCCAAGATGTTGCCCGTCATTTCAACATTAACATAATCACAATTTACCGTCTCCTGCATCGATACAATGCTACACAGACCACAGATGACCTTCCTCGGAGCGGTCGTCCTAGGGTCACCACACCTCGACAAAATCGGCAGATTACCCGTCCACACCAAGTGATCAGACCCCACGTTGTTCCATTTTTTGCACAACAAACGCATTTTCCAGCAGGACAACGCTCGTCCCCATGTTGCCAGAGCTACCATGGTCTTTCTGCAACAACACAACATCCGTGTTCTACGGTGGCCAGCCCTCAGCCCTGATCTGAACCCCATCGAACACTTGTGGGATGAGGTTCGAAGGCGTCTGCACAATGTGCGCCCAGTCCCTACAACTGCCGACGAACTACGCACAGCTGGGCCTTCGCAAATCGTCTGATCCACTCAATGTACAGGAGATGTGTGGCAGTGATCAATGCTAATGGTGGTCACACCGGGTATTGACTGACATTTTTTGGTATTGACCCGAAACTGTGTATGCCCTGAACATTTGAAAAAAAATGTTTTATGTCATCTGCCTTTTAATCCATTAAGCTGTCTTCAGTCAATTTTTTGTCAATCTTGCCTTATTAGAATTTCTTGTCTTTACTGTTGAAAATAAATAACATGTACACTGCATACTTGACTTGCGTTTCTTTTGCGTGTGAGTATATATATCCTCATAACAAATAACCCGGTCTTTGTTGATTACTTTTGAAAATAACAAGGGTGCACGTTTCTTACACTTACACTTTGTTCTGGAATAAACCAGTATACCTTCCGACAAACACAGAATATTATAGTGAAAATAAAAGCATATGGTCTATAAACAAATGCTGACGCAAAGACATTTCCGAAGGTTCAGAATCAGTTAGCGTTGGAGTAATCAATGGTGCCTATCATTGTCCTTACGTTGTTAATGATTCGGGGGACCATAGCGAGACAAGACCCTGAAAAAACTGCAATTATTGGTCAGCATATCGGGTCATCATGATCATATTCGGGGACGGTGAAATTGGTTCAGTTGAGTTGAGCCTTTGGGCGGACATAACCTATGGTAGTGGGTTCGAAAGCCAGATTCGCACTGATGATATGTCACAATACCCATGCTCGCATTATTTGTCTAAGATTTGCGTGCAATACTTCGGGCTTCCCTCCCACATCAAACCGACACGCCGTTATTTACTTAATTGACAAAAGAAACGCGAATAGCATACATGTTACACAAATATACAATATATGAAGAATTACTCATATTCAAGAGATATCAGATTGGTTCGACGCACATACGAGCATACTGGTATGTTGTGTGAATCGACGCTCATGAACGCATCACATGAGGCGTCATAGATTCATGACTCGATATGCACCGTTAGTCTCGTGCAGGATTAGCATGTAAAGTTTGGAAATCACGTGCAGCATATCGTGATAACAATAAAGACACGCTGTGGTAACACTTGACTGATCACACTTTTGTCATGAGGTGGTACACAATGGAAACAGCTCTTCTTAACGTACACACTTCTCTATATGTTTCTTTGGTTCGCGTTTCTTTTGGCGGTGAGTATATAATTGAAATACTTATTACAGACCAATATCATACTTGCTTTCAGACGGCCGGCTGTGTGATGCTTGGCATCGGAATTTGGGCACGCCTTCAGAAGAAAGGTCTGACTTTCTTCGATCACGTGATCACTGACCCCGCCTACATGCTGATTGTGGTCGGGTCAGTGATGTTTTTCATCAGCATATTCGGATGTATTGGAGCTCTCAGGGAAAACATCTGTCTGCTGCGAACTGTGAGTGTTGATTTCCGTTGATCTGTTCCTCCTGTTGGTGTTCTTGGTAGAAATGGAAACTCTATAGGTCATCGGTGTTTACCATTAGGGCTTCTAATAAGACGAGGTTCATCCTCGGGAGGTGGTAGATACGAAACTTGGTAGCCATCTGGTCTGACCTGTATGTTGATTGTTGATGGTGTTGTTGGATGATAATTCCTGTCCTTTATGTTGATGGTGTTCTTTGATGGTATTGCTTGACCTGTATGTTGATGGTGTTCTTGGATGGTATTTCCTGACCTGTATGTTGATGGTGTTTTTGGATGGTATTTCCTGACCTGTATGTCGATGGTGTTCTTGGATGGTATTTCTAGACTTGTATGTTGATGGTGTTCTTTGATGGTATTTCCTGATCTGTATGTTGAAGGTGTTCTTGGATGGTATTCCCTGACTTGTATGTCGATGGTGTTCTTGGATGGTATTTCCTGACCTGTATGTTGATGATGTTCTTGGATGGTATTCCCTGACGTGTATGTTGATGGTGTTCTTTGATGGTATATCCTGACCTGTATGTCGATGGTGTTCTTGGATGGTGTTTCCTGACCTGTAAGTTGATGGTGTTCTTGGATGGTATTTCCTGACCTGTATGTTGATGATGTTCTTGGGTGGTATTTACTGACCTGTATGTTGATGGTGTTCTTGGATGGTATTCCCTGACTTATATGTTGATGGTGTTCTTGGATGGTATTTCCTGACCTATATGTCGATGATGCTCTGGGATGGTATTTCTTGACCTGTATATTGATTGTGTTCTTGGATGGTATTATTTGGATTAGTACATGTTACGTTGTCACACAGTACACATCAACTAGTACATGTTACGTTGTCCCACAGTACACATCGACTAGTACATCTGTTACGTTGGCCCACAGTACACATCGACAAGTACATCTGTTACGTTGTCCCACAGTACACATTGACTAGTACATGTTACGTTGTCGCACAGTACACATCGACTAGTACATGTTACGTTGTCGCACAGTACACATCGACAAGTACAGTACACATCGACAAGTACATCTGTTATGTTGGCCCACAGTACACATCGACAAGTACATGTTACGTTTTCCAACAGTACACATCGACAATTATAGTACACATCGACAAGTAGATCTGTTACGTTGTCCCACAGTACACATTGACTAGTACATGTTATGTTGTCCCACAGTACACATCGACTAGTACATGTTACGTTGTCCCACAGTAGACATTGACTAGTACATGTTACGTTGTCCCACAGCACATATCGACAAGTAAGGTACACATGGACAAGTACATCTGTAACGTTGTCCCACAGTAGACATCGACTAGTACATGTTACGTTGTTCCACAATACACATCGACAAGTACAGTACACATCGACAAGTACATCTGTTACGTTGTCCCACAGTACACATCGAAAAGAACATCTGTTATGTTGTCCCACAGTACACATCGACAAGTACATCTGTTACATTGTCCCACAGTACACATCGACTAGTACATGTTACGTTGTCCCACAGTACACATCGACTAGTACATGTTATGTTTTCCAACAGTACACATCGACAAGTACAGTACACATTGACAAGTAATATGTAACGTTGTCCCACAGTTGACATTGACTAGTACATGTTACGTTGTCCCACAGCACATATCGACAAGTGAGGTACACATTGACAAGTACATCTGTAACGTTGTCCCACAGTAGACATCGACTAGTACATGTTACGTTGTTCAAAATACACATCGACAAGTACAGTACACATCGACAAGTACATCTGTTACGTTGTCCCACAGTACACATCGACAAGTACATCTGTTACGTTGTCCCACAGTACACATCGACAAGTACATCTGTTACGTTGTCCCACAGTACACATCGACAAGTACATCTGTTATGTTGTCCCACAGTACACATCGACAAGTACATCTGTTATGTTGTCCCACAGTACACATCGACAAGTACATCTGTTACGTTGTCCCACAGTACACATCGACAAGTACATCTGTTATGTTGTCTCACAGTAAACATCGACTAGTACATGTTACGTTGTTCCACAGTACACATCGACTAGTACATGTTACGTTATTCCACAGTACACATCGACTAGTACATCTGTTATGTTGTCCCACAGTACACATCCCCTATTAAATCTGTTACGTTGTCCCACAGTACACATCGGCTAGTACATATGTAACGTTGTTCCACAGTACACATCGACTATAATACGCGCTACGTTGTCCCACAGTACACATCGATTAGTACATCTGTTTTGTTGTCCCACAGTACACATTGACAAGTAGAGTACACATCGACAAGTACATCTGTTACGTTGTCCCACAGTACACATCGACTAGTACATCTGTTATGTTGTCCCACAGTACACATCGACTAGGACATCTGTTACGTTGTCCCACAGTACACATCGACTAGAACATGTAACGTTGTCCCAAAGTAGACATCGACTAGTACATGTTACGTTGTCTCACAGTACACATCGACAAGTGAAGTACACATTGACAAGTACATCTGTAACGTTGTCCCACAGAGGACATTGACTAGTACATGTTACGTTGTCCCACAGCACATATCGACAAGTGAAGTACACATTGACAAGTACATCTGTAACGTTGTCCCAAAATACACATCGACAAGTACATGTTACGTTGTCCCACAGCACATATCGACAAGTGAAGTACACATTGACAAGTACATCTGTTACGTTGTCCCACAGTACACATCGACAAGTACATGTTATGTTGTCCCACAGTACACATCGACTAGAACATGTAACGTTGTCCCAAAGTAGACATCGACTAGTACATGTTACGTTGTCTCACAGTACACATCGACAAGTGAAGTACACATTGACAAGTACATCTGTAACGTTGTCCCACAGAGGACATTGACTAGTACATGTTACGTTGTCCCACAGCACATATCGACAAGTGAAGTACACATTGACAAGTACATCTGTAACGTTGTCCCAAAATACACATCGACAAGTACATGTTACGTTGTCCCACAGCACATATCGACAAGTGAAGTACACATTGACAAGTACATCTGTTACGTTGTCCCACAGTACACATCGACAAGTACATGTTATGTTGTCCCACAGTACACATCGACTAGTACATCTGTAACGTTGTCCAACAGTGGATATTGACTAGTACATGTCACGTTGTCCCACAGCACATATCGACAAGTGAAGTACACATTGACAAGTACATCTGTAACGTTGTCCCACAGTAGACATCGACTAGTACAAGTAACGTTGTTCCACAATACACATCGACAAGTACAGTACACATCGACAAGTACATCTGTTAAGTTGTCCAACAGTACACATCGACAAGTACATGTTATGTTGTCCCACAGTACACATCGACAAGTACATCCGCTACGTTGTCCCACAGTAGACATCGACTAGTACATGTTACGTTGTCCCACAGTACACATCGACAAGTACATCCGCTACGTTGTCCCACAGTTCACATCGGCTAGTACATCCGCTACGTTGTCCCACAGTACACATCGACAAGTACATGTTATGTTGTCCCACAGTACACATCGACAAGTACATCTGTTACTTTGTCCCACAGTACACATCGACTAGTACATGTTACGTTGTCCCACAGTACACGTCGACTAGTACATGTTACGTTGTTCCACAATACACATCGACAAGTACAGTACACATCGACAAGTACATCTGTTACGTTGGCCCAAAGTACACATCGACAAGTACATCTGTTATGTTGTCTCACAGTACACATCGACAAGTACATCTGTTACGTTGTCCCACAGTATACATCGACAAGTACATCTGTTACTTTGTCCCACAGTACACATCGACAAGTACAGTACACATTGACAAGTACATCTGTTACGTTTGCCCACAGTACACATTGACAAGTACATGTTAAGTTGTCCCACAGTACACATCGACAAGTACATCTGTTACTTTGTCCCACAGTACACATCGACAAGTACAGTACACATTGACAAGTACATCTGTTACGTTTGCCCACAGTACACATTGACAAGTACATGTTAAGTTGTCCCACAGTACACATCGACAAGTACATCTGTTACTTTGTCCCACAGTACACATCGACTAGTACATGTTACGTTGTCCCACAGTACACGTCGACTAGTACATGTTACGTTGTTCCACAATACACATCGACAAGTACAGTACACATCGACAAGTACATCTGTTACGTTGGCCCAAAGTACACATCGACAAGTACATCTGTTATGTTGTCTCACAGTACACATCGACAAGTACATCTGTTACGTTGTCCCACAGTATACATCGACAAGTACATCTGTTACTTTGTCCCACAGTACACATCGACAAGTACAGTACACATTGACAAGTACATCTATTACGTTTGCCCACAGTACACATTGACAAGTACATGTTAAGTTGTCCCACAGTACACATCGACAAGTACATCTGTTACTTTGTCCCACAGTACACATCGACAAGTACAGTACACATTGACAAGTACATCTGTTACGTTTGCCCACAGTACACATTGACAAGTACATGTTAAGTTGTCCCACAGTACACATCGACAAGTACATCTGTTACTTTGTCCCACAGTACACATCGACAAGTACAGTACACATTGACAAGTACATCTGTTACGTTTGCCCACAGTACACATTGACAAGTACATGTTAAGTTGTCCCACAGTACACATCGACAAGTACATCTGTTACTTTGTCCCACAGTACACATCGACAAGTACAGTACACATTGACAAGTACATCTGTTACGTTGTCCCACAGTACACATCGACAAGTACAGTACACATCGACAAGTACATCTGTTACGTTGTCCCACAGTACACATCGACTAGTACATGTTATGTTGTCCCACAGTACACATTGACTATTACATCCGCTACGTTGTCCAACAGTAAACATCGACAAGTACATCTGTTACGTTGTCCCACAGTAGACA